CCCCCCAGCCCAGGCCTTTGGCTCAGTCTCAGCCCTGCCTGCTGGCCTGTCAGTCACTGGGCCCCTGATTCTCCTCCAATCTGACCCCCCTAAGTCAGTTCCTGGTGCCTCTGAGCCTGGGCCTGTTAATTTCTCACAGATTTCAGGCTCAGCGCTCCAGTCCTGCACTGGCCCAATGCCTGTGCCTGGGGCCTAGGTGGCCTGCAAGCCCTGATCTCTCCCGATGGTGGTGCCCACCGCCAAGCCCTTGCCCAGCCCACCAGGGCTCCTCTGGCCCCCTAATGATGCTTTGCCCCTCACAAGTTGCTCCCTGGCCCAGTCCCTCTCCAGGGGTACCTCACCTGCCCTGCGGCCCAGTCCTTCTCTGGGGGTACCTCCATGTACATATGGCCGGATCCCTCTCTGGGGGTACCTCACCTACCTCCCACATTCCTATCTTCTCTCAGGTGGAAGACTGGACCCACGGTAATTCCAGTCCCGCTCACATCCAGGTCAGACCCTGTTTCCCACGAAGACCTGGCCGGCCCTCCTTCCCTCCCAGTCTCCCACCTCCACAAGCTCCCAGGCCCTAGGCACCCAAGAACCCTCTCTGGGCTGGTCCTCTTCACATCTCTAGGCCCCTCCTGGTGCTTTCTGGAAGCCAGGCTGAGGCCCGGCAGGCCCGTCTGGTCGCTGGTCCCCTGGCCAGGCCCGTCCTCTACTCGGAGACCCCCTTCCTGTGAAGGCTCTTCTCAAGCAGCCCCTTTTGTCCTGAGCTGCCCCTCCCATGACGCCCTCCTCTTCTGGAGCCCTTTCCCTCCCCAAACTCAGTCCTTCAGCCCCGGCCCATTCCCTGGCCAGCCCCCACCCCACCCGGCCCCTGCAGTTTTGCCCATGCTCACCAGGACCCCAAAGTCCAAATGCACTTTTCGACGATACTAAAAAGGCCTCTGCAGTGGGGGTTCCCAAGCCCGAGGAGACCCCCACCTCTACTGGGACTCCCTGGCTTCACATTCAGGTTGCCAGGCAACTGGAATTGTGCTCTCCTGCCCCAGCCCCCACCACCCACTTCCCCAGAACTGGTGTCCACGGGCTGAGCCTGGTCCAAGGGGCCCTCCCCATCTGCACGGGGTTCCCCAGGGCAGGCAGCTTCTGCACGGCCCCCACCTGCCCCTGCCCTGGCCCTGCCCTGAGCAGGCAGGCTGCTGTGGGCACCCAGGAGGCCTCCTGGTCTGCACACAGGTCCTGAGGAGCCAGGGAGGGCAGGGCAGGGGAGCACCCAGGCTGGGGCCAGCACCTGCTCCAATTCACAGCGAGGGAAGGCAAAGGCAGGCCCCTCTCCTGCACCAGGCTACGCCCCCTCCCCCCCGTGAGCTGGTGGGATGCGGCTAGACGCCGGTAGGTCCCCGAGAGTGGCCTGCACCAGGATGTGGCTCCAGGCATGAGGACCACTGGGGGGGGGGCAGGAAACACCCAGCTGGGCCGCTGCGGGCTGGAAAACAGGGCCTCGAAGCAGGCGGAGCAGCTGGATGGGAGGTACCGCCTGCCCTGTTAGGTGTCTGGGGCACCTTCCAGAGAGAACCAGGCTTGGGGTCCTGCAGAAATGGCCCTAGGTCACCTAGCTAGAAAACGGGCTGGATTCGAACCTGGGGTGGCCAGCCAGCGTCCTCCCAGAACAGCTGTTTTGCAGGAGTGGTGGGCTCTGGATAGGCCCTGGACCAGGGCTGAGGGGCACTGAGGCTCTCCAGGGCCCCACACCTCAGTCCCCTTTCCTGGAAACAGCGACAGACACAGCACGGCTGCACAGGCCCCCAGTGGACTGGCCCCGGTCTGGCCGCCTAGGTGCTGGCTGCAGTGTGAGCACGGCTGGCAGAGGCCAGGCCACCCTGAGTTTAGCTGCAGGGCTCAGGGCAGCTGCCTCAGGCAAGGCCACACCGAGGAGGGCCAGGAGCAGAGGCAGTGTGCAGGAGGGCAGCCACTGGGCCTGGACAGCTCTCCCCGGAGCCTGGGGGTGCACACGGCTCGACGGTACTCGTCCCTGGAAGCCCTGCCAGCCCTGCAGAGCACCACGGGCTCCCTGCTCGGGTTTCAGCCGCAGAGAACACAGGGCTCATGCCAGGGAGCCTCCTCACCATTCGGCCTCCATGCTCCCGAGACGTTCTCCAAGATGGCACCCGGAGGGCTTGGCTCTGCAGTCCTGGAACCCTCAGGTCCCACGGCAGTCACTGTGCCAAGAGCCGACAGGGCTCCAGGCCGAGGACCAGCACTTAGACTTGTTCTATGCCTGCACTGGCTGGGTGGGCTCTGAGCAAGAGCTCCCCATCTCAGGACTCCTGCTCCCACCAAGTGCTGACAAACTCCTACTCATCCCATAAAACCCCACTGCTGCTGCACCTCCTCCAGCAGACGCTCCCACCTTGGCAATGACTACAGTGATGTGGCCCAAGGCAGTGAGGGGGTCCTCTAGTCCCTGCTTGGCTAGTGTCAGGGCAGCCATGTCCAGATCTTAGCAGGAAGGAGCCCACATGTCCGACTGCACGGCCCCTTCTCTCCTTGGGCCTCAAGTTGGGTGGGGAGTGCAGGAGTCCCTTCTTGGTCCTCCCTCGGTGCAGGGCCCACACAGGGCCTGCCTGGACCTTCCCTGCTGCCTCTGTGGCCACAGCCACATGTGGCCTGTCACTAGCCCAAACCTCACTACAAGCCGCTCCCTGCCAGTGGCGGTTCTGCTGTGAGGCTGGCCAGCCAGGTCTTGAGGGGCTGGTCGCCAGGCTGGGCACCCACAGCCCTGTACCCCACCCAGCCCCTGCAGCCCGATTTAGAAGCCCCATCCTCCAAGCAGAAAACACACCAACGCAGAGAAAGGCCCAAACAACTGTATTTTTCTGTCCACAGGGGCTCAGCCCTTAGCAGGGCAGCTACAAAAGGCGGCCAGGGCCAGAGTCAGCATCCAGCCATCCCAGCCCCACCCTGTAGGGCCCACCCTGTAGGTCAGGCCCTGTGACTCCAAGGCCATCTGCTGGCTCCATCCCCTCTCATGCCCCGCCTGTCCATCCCCAGGCCTCGGCAGGCCCCTTCCTCGTGGGCTGGGACAGATGGATGGTGGGTGGTGGGGTCAGTAGAACTGGGCTCCGAGCCCCAGCCTGGGGCACAACGGCCCCCAGGAAGGACGGGATTCCCTGGAGGAGAGGCAGGGAGCGTGGCCGGGGCCCTGCCAGGGCAACAGCATGGCCAACAGTGGCTGGGGGCTCTAGGGGAGGGGAGGGGTCCTCACTGCCGGTCCCTAGCTGCTCCTCTAAGTCACTGAGATCTGTGCCCTGACCCTCCATCAGACAAAGAGCATTTCTGAAACTGGGACAGGGAAGTGAGTGTCAGAGTGTGTGTGTGTGTGTGTGTGTGCACCTGTGTGCGTTGAGAGGGCAGGGTGCAGTGGGGCGAGACAGTGGCTGTCCCTTCCCGCTCGCTGTCTCTGTCTCGGTGAAGAAGCGCTAGACTTTGGCAGCCTCAGCAAAGCCCACGCGGTTGTTGTCCCGGTCGAACACCGTGTAGTAGCGGCCGATGAAGACGTCACCCAGGATCCAGAGCGGCCCGCCGGGCGGGGGGATGTCCATGCCCATGAAGCCGCTCAGACAGATGGTCCTTCCGGCCTGCGACACCTGCACAGCTGTGGTGGTCAGCCCCCTGCCCCCTGAGCAGGCGCCCGTCCTCTGCCCCGCCGCACACCCCCGGCCCTGGCTGCCCCTTGGGTGTCCAGGCCCCAGGCCCCCCTCACCTTGAGAACGTAATCATCTGGTGAAAGCACGTAGTCCTTGCCCCCCAGCTTCAGGGAGACGGGGGGCAGGTTGGGAATCTTCTCACAGGGAATCATGTACTGCCAGGAGGGGACAGCGGGTGGTGGGTGGGCAGGTGCCGCCTGGGCACCCCACCCTCCCGCCTGCCGCCTGCTCACCTTGCCCGGCCTGCCCGCCCACCTGACACGCTGCCACCTCAGCTCACCTCGCCCTGGATCAGCGGCACGGCGCCCACGGCCTTCTGCAGCTCGGTGATCTCCTCCACGGGGCCCACCATCAGGGACGTGCCCGTGTCCACAATGGCCTCACAGCCGCCCTTGCACAGGGTTAGCCCATTGCCCACGTCCACACTACGGAGGCAGGGGATGAGTCTCGCCTGGGCCTGAACCTGGGCCCTGCCCTCCAGCCCCTGCTCTCCTGCATGGGGGAGCCCATCCCTCACTGGCAAGGAACTGGTGCTGGGCTGAGGAAGAGGAGGGGCGTGAGGAGAGGGAGCTTAGGGACGTGTTATCTGCAAGACCAGGTATGGAGTCTGACCTGCTCATGAGGTTTGTGGCCGTGGGGAGAGAAGGGCCCTGAGCCCAGGGCCCAGGAAGCCTCCAGCTCAGCCCGCTGGGGAACCCAGCCGCCCTCGGGCCTGCAGGTGGGTGGCTCGCAGGCACTGAGGCCCAGGCACCAGGGCCACTGCCCTAGGGTCCACAGTGCCCCACTCACCTCTCCATGTGGATCTGCCAGTAAGCCTGGCGGGTGACATTCAAGAAGTTCACGGAGCCCTTGTAATACTTGGAGTCGATACCACCCAGCATCAGCTCACCTCCGGGCTGGGCTTCCGGGTCCCTGTGAGGGAGGAAGCAAGCGATAGGACTGAGCTGGGCAGGCCTGTGGTGGGGTGGGGTTTGGGGAGCGGGAGAATGGAGGAACTGACTCCCATCCCTTCAGGGAGACCCTGCGTGGCCGCTCAGTGGGGCCAGACCCCCCCGTACAGCGCGATCCCACTTGGGACCACTGGCCCTACCAGCAAAGGATAACCAGGGCCAGGCCACTGGGCAGGAGGAAGGGAGAACCAGGAGCCTGGAATCATGGTGGGCTTCCAGGAGGTGGTGGCTGTGCAACCAAGTAGGTGACATGGCACGTTCCTGCCCCAGGACCTCCATGCACTCAATGCCCAGAGGGCCCTACGCCCAGTCTTCGTGGTGTGGCCCCTCTCTGCTCCTGCCTGGCCACCGGCCAGCCCTTCCCCGCTGCCCATTTCTCATCCAGGCCTTGTATCTGCAGCCCTGACCACCTGACTCCACACTGAGGGGCAGTTGTCCCAGGGGGGCCTGTCCTCCACAAAGGCTACTGCCCTCCCAGCACAGTGACCACCCCAGAACCGTTACGAGCAGCAACGCTGTGGTTGCCCCAGGGGCTGGGAGCAGTGGGGAGGCAGCCCCCAGGGGCTGGGTGGAGCGGGGAGGCGGCCCAGGCCCCGGGCCCCACCTGTTGAGGTAGAAGGAAAACATGTTTTTGTCCACCAGCTTCTGTTTCATGAGGTTGTCGAAGACGGGGACCACGTTGTTGACAGAGATGCGGGGGTAGGCCATGCCCAGAATGCCGTCAAACTTGGCTGCAATGAACGTGATGCCCGGCTGCTTGGTGGCCTCCCCGAAGACCTGCCGCTCCACCCTGACACCTTTCACAGGCTCCGAGAGCATCTGGCAGGGCACCTGTGGGCACAGGGGTCACTGGGCCATGGTGGGGATGGTGGGGGCCCTGGCAGGGGTCAAAGGCCACAGAGGGCTCAGTGGGTTTGGTTGTCATCTTTCTCCTGAGCCTGGGCAGGCACACCTAGGTAACCACCCCCCCACTGCCCCCCCCCACCCCGTGCATCTGGGGGTGTGCAAAGCGGGCAGAGGGGACCGGGCAGGAAGGCTTTGGGGAAGAGGCAGCTGGCGGCATCAGCGTGGCCCCTGTGTGCGCCCTGCTGCAGTGCCAAGCCCTCATCCTCATGGAAGTAGGCACTGGGGGACGAGGGCAGGCCTCTGCCCATGCCCTTCCCCCCAGACTTACCCACCCCCGGGCTCAGTGACAAAAGGCCGGGGCCCAAGCCCATACCACCCCAGGTCATGGCTGAGGCTGCAGAGAAGAAGGCGGGGCCAGGATGTGGGAGAGACGGCCGTTTGGCGCTCACACCCTTGTGGGGGGGTGTTAGGCAACATCCTGTCTCCAACAGGAGACCCAGAGAAGACAGGACCCTGCAGACAGCCCAGCAGCAGACAGGAGAGAAGAGGGCAGGGGGCCAGCCACCCCAGAGACAGTACCCACTGGTCCTCATGGTTGTAGCACACTGCCCTGCCACTATAGCAGGGCCACCCTCCAGAGAGCAAGGAGGGCATCAGCCTGGACCCTGCACCCACCCAGCACCCATCCTGCAGTGCCTGTGGGGAGTAGGGGGTACCCACCCAGCAGTGCCTGTGGGGAGAAGGGGGCACCCACCCAGCAGTGCCTGTGGGGAGCAGCCAAGAGCTGTGGGGGGTGAGCCTCAACTACCCCAGGCGGGGTCCCCAGCTGTCCCTCAGAAAACCCTGTCCCCTCAGCCCCTGGGCTGCACAGGACCCAGATACCCCAGGCCAGGCCCTGACTGCTTTGCTGGCTCCCCAGGACCCAGGAACCCCGCCCTCTGTGGGCTCCTCCTCTGGGAACAGGGAGGAGGCCTGGCCTCACTCGCTGGGTCTGATCACTCAGGTATTGAAACCCATGCCTTGTCACTGCCCCCCATGCCATTGAAGAACCAGGGCCTTCAAATCCTTCTGGGGCTCCTAGCTGTGCACACCCCTCACCTGCAGCCCAGACCTCCCAGAATGGGGTCCCCGCCTCATTCCTCCTGGCTCTCACCTCTAATCCCTGGGTCCCCCAGCCGACTGCTGTGCCGGCTCACCACCCAGCACCCTGCCCTGCCCTGGGATGAGGAGAGGGTCCCCAGGCACTGAGCCCAGTCACTTGGTCACACACGCACAGACAGGGGTGACAACCCCTTGCCCCTATGGCAGCCGCCCCGGGAAGGCTCACCGACACGGTGTCCTGGCTCAGGTACCCAGAGAGACTGCCTGAGCCATAGTGGATGTCGAAGGTGGTCCCGTTCTCCACATAGGTGCTGGACTTGGCACTGTTGTATTTGTGGTGGATCCCTGTGGGGAGGGCTGTCAGCCTGGCACGTGGGGTCCCCGCCTCCCATCCCACAGCCAGGGCGGCCAGGCCCCAGGACCACAGGCTCAGCCCCTGCAGCCCCAGTGGGCTCCAGCTTGGGCCACCCCAGAGATGTGCAGAGGGGCTGGACTAGGCAGGTTCCCCGGGAAGTGGGCGACAGGGACGGGGCAGGCGGGGGGACAGTCTGATGTGGCCAGTGAAGAGAATGGCTCTGTGCCTGCCTCCCTCCCGGGGCCTAAGGGAGCGTGGGTGCCAGTGTGTGAGGAACAGGGGCTAGCCCCCCGAGGTGCATGGCACTCAAAGGCCCCAGGGTGCCCTGAGGGCAGAGACTCACAGCAGGCGATATCCAGTAGCTTGCAGTGAACTGAGGGGACCCACAGGTTGGAGGAGCCGGTGTCAAAGACGACTGTGAAGCACTGGGGCGGCGTCCCAATGCCGATCTCCCCATAGTACTGGGCCTGAACAGAGGGAGACCCATCAGGGTGGCTGGGGGCACCCTGCCCTGGCACTGGATTGACGGGGCGGGTGGCGCAGGTCCCAGGCCCTGCTGCGTCACTGCCTGCTGGCTTTGGCCCTCTCCAGGCAGCCCCACCCAGCCCTCTTGCCGGTAGGTACTCAGACCCCTCCGAGCAGCCCCCCCAGCAGTGGACCCATCTCTGCAGCCCCTCCCACTGGAGGACAAGCTGCTTGGGAGTCCCTGGCCATCGTCCCAGAGTGGCTTTCCCCCTAGGCCAGACCCCAGGGCCTAGGTTAGAGTCTGGCCCCACCCCAGAGGAGGTGCCTCAGAGACCAGTCGCCCCAGCTCTGAGTCATTCACCAGCCAAGCAACTGGCCTGGGCCTCAGTTTCCCCACGTGTACACTGGGTAATGGCTGCTAAGGATTAGGTGAGTCCAAAGGGAAACCCCATGGCTGGCCCTCTCAGTGGTCCTCGATTTGGGGCAAGGAGGCTTGGCCAATGGTCAGCTCAGCCAGGGAGCCAGAGCAGCTGCCCAGTTCCGAGAAGTGTCTAGACTGAGCAGGAGGGGGGCGGCTCAGCAGATCTCCACGGACCATGTGTTAGGGGACCAGGAATCTGTCAGTCAGCCCACAGACGGCTCTCTCCCCTTCTCCCCCACAGCCCTGTCACATGGCCATGAGACTCAAGCTTCCTGTTACAGCCAGGACCCGGGCCAAGCCGGACAGAGGGCGCGCCTCCTGCCCTCCCTCAGCAGACCACAGGGGCAGCGAGGAGTTTCCGAGACCAGGGCCCAGGACTCGTCGGCACAGAGCTGGGGCCAAGCCCAGCAGGTCCTACTCTGCTCCATCATTGAGTGTGTTTGGCCCTCAAGGAGCAGGGAGCGCTAAGGGGTGCTGACCCAACAGGAGCCCAGCCACGTCCGAGTCGGGACTCCTCGCTCCTTGTGTGTCCTTAGCGAGGGACTGGGCTGCGGGCCCAACTCCCTGTGTGAGGCTCCGACACCCGTCCTACCACTCAGCCCTGGCACTGGGCTCAGGCCGCCACTGCCAGCAACTTGGGCCTAACTCCCACATGCTGGAAGTGCAGGGCGGGGTTTAGAGGGGCGGGTCCTTGGGGGAAGGTGGGGCCTGGCCTGAAGTGGCCCTCCCACTGACCAGGGGAGTCCTTGGGAAACAAGCGGGCGTGTCAGTCCCCCCTACCCGCCCCCACACTCACATCCATGTAGTTCTTGAGCATCTCTGGGACCGGCCCCCCAGTCGCAGCAGGGCCCCCATAGGAGTATTTCCTGATGGGCTCCTTGGCGATCAGGTCTTCCACGGAGCCGCCAACCTCAGACAGAGTCCGACGGATGGACGTGAACTTGTGCAGCGGGATCCTGTGGGGATGAGGGTCTGCGCTGGCCAAAGGGGTCACCCCTCCCACCACGCTCACAGCCTGTCCAGCCACATGGCACCCCCACCCAGCACGGCTCACACCCAACGTCGGCTTTCTACCTGTGCTGCTCACGGCTAACCACTGTCCACCAGCTGCCAGGCCCGAGTCCGTGGGCCCCCATGCGCCCCCTTCCCACACCCTGCATCCATCCTGAGCCTGAGTCTGCCCTCTTCTCCTCCACCATGGCGCCCAGCCGTGCAGTCAGCCGGGCCACCAGTTTGCGTGGAGTTGCCTTCCACTCACGGCGACCCCACGTGTGTCTGAGCAGAACACAGGATTTTCAGAGGTTGATGTTTTGGAAAGGGGCTGTCAAGCCCTTCTCCCGAGGCACCTGAGTGGACGCCAACCTTTTAGTCAGCAGCTGAGAACCTTCAGTGCTGCAACACTCAGGGATGCCCAGCCACAGCAGGGGCCCTGCACGCCCCCTCGTGTGCTGCCCGGCTCCCTGCCCAGCTCCAGCCCCCAGCTAGGACCTCTCACCCACCCTAAGTCCTGCAAGGCTTCCATGACCCCTCAGCCACCTTACACTCCACCGCGCTCGCTCCCTCCCACCACCCTCGTGGCCCCCTCCCCACCTGGATGCAGGCACTAAGGCTGCTGCTGGGCCAGCCTTCTTGCAAACACCTCAGCGCAGCAGGTGTGGCGCCTCACCAAGGCACCCTCTGAAGCAGGCCTAGCACCAGGCAGCTGCCCCAGGCTGAGGCTGGTGCCCTAGGAGCTGACAGGACCTTGGTTCCACTGTCTAATAACTGTGGTCCACCACCTGCCCCATCAGCTGAGGAAGGAGTGGAAGGTGTCCCACAAGAAGAGTAAGGTGACCTCAGGTTTCCCTGCTGCAAGGGCAAGATGCAGAATAAGAGGTGGGCGGGGAAGAGCCTGTGGCTCTTAGCTGCGGGTCGGCCACACCCTTAGTGATAGGAGGCCCCATGACCCAGCACATCTCCCAAGGCCATCGCCTCCCTCCTGGAGCCATGGGAGGGTGTGGGCGTGCGGGTGGGCCAGAGCAGGGCAGGGCAGGTTCAGGCCTGCAGCTGCTCCCCACATTGGCTCTGTGGGGGCCAGGTCACCCCTGGCTGCGGCCCATGGGGAGCCCATGCAGGCCAGCCCTCCAGCAGGGCTTAACCACCCACAGCCCGCAGCCAGCCAGACCAGCTCCCTAGCTCCTGCAGGCACAGATGCCCTATGACCTCATCCACCTGCTCCACTGCCCAATGAAGGTGAGGGACACAGAGTCCTGGCAGGAAAGCCCAGTGCAAGGGTGGGGTTGGCCTCCCATACCCCCACCCCATCCTGGGGTAGTAAGGTGTCCTACTGGGGTGAGAGACAGGGGTCTCCATCCTCAGCCCCAGGGGCCCATCAGCCTGCCTGGCACAGCCTGTGGTCTATGCTAGCAGTCAGCATCTCTGCCTGGAGCACACAGCTGGGGGAACAGGACCCTAGGGCCCAGGAGGGCACAGTCTCTGTCGCAGCAGGTGGTCAGTGGGGGAGCTGAGCCTCCTCTCCAGTGTGACAGCCGGACCTGCTGTGGGCAGCCTCAGCCATTCACCCACCCTCCTTCTTAGGCCTCCCGCTCCTCCCTGGGCCACCCTGGTCACAGGGCCCGTGGAAAAATTGTGTGCAGTCGACTGAGCAAGAAGCCACTGGTGTTCAAAGCTGCCATGGGGGCCCCAAGGAGGGGAAGACTAGTGTACCTGCACCGGCCGGTCCAGACTCCCACACGTGGTCCCTGGGCAGATGCACCAACCTCACCCGTCCGAATCAGCAACACCTCCCACTCCCAGCCTGGGCCCTGGGCCCGTGGGGGGCTGGGATCAGCCCTGTGCCACTGCCACCCTCCCGCCTCCTGTGCCCTCCACGCCGACTCCACGGTGGAAGGGGGCGCTCTCGCGCCTCTGCCCGGCGTCGTCCTGCACTCCCCGAACTCCCTCCCGGCGCTCAAGAGAGGCTGGGCCTGCACGAGGCCTCACGGGGGCGAGCGGCATTCCAGCCGGGCAAGGGGGGGGCCCGCGGACAGCAGCCGGCGCCCGGCCCCGGGAGGCGCACGAGGCTCACCTGACGAGCGCGGAGGCCGGGCCGAGCAGCAGGCCCAGGACGAGCAGCAGGAGGCTGAGGGCCTGCATGGTGACGGCGGCGGAGCGGAGTGGAGCAGAGCGGCGAGGCCGTGCGCTCGGAGCCGGGATGACAGCGCAGTCCGCAGGTCAGGTGACCGGCTTGTTTGCGCCGGGGCTGTCACGTGGGCGCGGCCTGGGCGGGGCGTCCTGGGCCCGCCCCCCGCCCAAGCCTCGCTTCCACCGAGCTCGCTCCCTGGGCCGGGCCCCGCCCCGGGCTGAGGGCAGGCGGGCTGTGCGCGGAGGGCAAGGTGACCGAGCCTTCACCCCGAGGTCGGTGGCGCCGCCGCGGGGCGCGCTCCCTGCGCCCCCGCTCCTTCCTCTTCCTCCAGGCGGGACTGCGATTGCTCCAGCCCAGGAGTGTCACCTACGCCACCTCCGGCCCGCCGTGTGCCTGACACCCGGACACCCGGGCCCACCGGGTGCGCCCCGACCTGGGGCCCCTGCAGCTGTGCCGGTGCCGCGGCGGGTGCCGAGAGGCGGAGGCCAGCGTAGGGGAGGGTGCGGCGAGACCCTCTGGACTCCAGGCCCCTTGAGCCTCCCAGGCCCCCTTTCTGGAAGCTGCCCCACTCCGCGTCCGGATGAACCTCATCCTTCCCAGTGGCCAGTGTCGCTGTCCCGCGCTCCCTCCACTTTCCCAGACCTGCGCCTTGCTTGGCCCTGCAGGGGCCATCCTGGGCCCCTTTCTCTCTGGACCTGCCCTGCCTGTCTGTGACGCAGGCACAGTCCCTTGGTCCCCTCCGTGGAGTAAAGGCTCTGGAGCCAGGTCCCCCGGGCACAGGGCCTGCTGTTAGGAGCCTGCTGGGTGCCTTCAGCTGGGACCACGGTCAGGGGCTACTCCAGGACCCCACAGCCCCTCACTCATGTCTGCATGCCCTGCTTGGTGCCAGGGTCCAAGCTAGGCCTGACCCTCATGTCCCCGGTGCACATATTATCGAGGAAAGGATCCAGAAGGAGAGAAGTCGTGTCAGCCAGGGGCCTGCTAGCAAGTGACAGCTGTTAGGCTGGCCTCTGAGGAGGTGGCACTCAGCGGAAACAATGAGGAGCCATTCCAGGCTGCTCTGACCTGGGGCTGAGTCCTCCCACTCCCTGTGAGCCAGACAGGCCCCTGCCCCATTTTACAGATGGACAGACAGAGGCTGCGTGGCTCACAGCAGGTGGGATGGGAGTTTTTGTCTTTTCTGTAACTAAGATGAGTGATGTACAGTGGAGTCCTGGCTCTGACCAGGTCTCAACCCCAGTCAGTCTGATGGCTGTGGGGTCGCGCACTGCCCAGTCCTGCCCCCACATCCAGCTGTTTAACTGGATCACCTGCTTGGGCTCTAGACGTGAGCGCCAAGGTGCTGGGTAGAACAGCTGGACATCTTTGCCTTCTGCGTCAACCCCAGGGCCACCCACGGCGAGGGTATCACCCCCTGCCCTCTAGGGGCCAGCCTCTTGGCGGGATCAGCAGCGCCCTGGGTGAGTAGGTTTGGGTGCTGGGTGAAAGGTGGTCCCAGCTGATGTCTGGGGTCCTGCATGCCCTGCCCGGAAGAAGACAGTCAGATGCAGGCCCATGGGAGAAACGCCTTCGGGGTGTCTCAGGTGCTTTGACCGCAGAAGCCTGATAAAGGAGGTGGCCTGAGGTGCAGAGGCGTGGGCGGCCACAGCAATCTAGCAGGTCCGGCTGTCGGAGGGATCCAAGCCTGTGGCCAGTGTGTCTGGCTGGGACTGGTGAAGTGGGGCCCTGGGCTTTCCTGAGGACAGCAGGGAGCCACAGAAAGCCCTAAGAGTGGGGAGGCCCCCACTCCCACAAAGACCCTGCCCCAGCAGTCCCATGCTGGCACTGTCACTTGGGGCCCGAGACACAGCCCAGACGCATGCTGGGCTCCGATTCCAGGTCGGATGGGGCTTCAGGACCCCCTCAGCTGATTCCAGAGGCCCCGTTGCTGCCAGGCCTTCCCTGGGGGGCCCGGCACCCTGTGCCCTGTGTCTGCCACACCCACAGCCTTTGTTCCAGACAGCACCCTTTCCTGGCCTTGCCCACGTCTGGCAGGGCGTGTGAGGCAGGGCCCACACACTCTGCATGAGGGGCCGTCTCGGGTGGAGTTCTTGGGTGGGGGGGCCTTTGGCCTGTGACAGAGCAGAGACCCCGTGGGGGCCTTTCTGGAGCAGCAGAGTGCCCCAGAGGGAGCGTCCTGGGGAGCCCGGCCTGCAGCCACCGCACGGCTCTGCTGTGCGGCCCAGTGGGAGCAGGCAGGCGGGAGGTTGGGGGCAAGGTCTGGCCAGAGCCGGCCGGCAGCCTGGAGCCCAGCGACTACAGTCCCAGCTGTGACACTGCCCAGGGCCAAGGGCTATTGGGACACTGAGCTCTTCTCAGGGTGCCCTGGCTCCTTGTCACCCCTGGACGCTGCTGGAAGTTCTTGGAGTTCGGGAGAGGGAAGGGATAGAGAGGTAGGGGCAGGGCCGCTGGGCCCCACTCAGCGCCAGCATCTCCCTGTGTGCAGGTGAGCTTTCTGGAGACAGCTGGTCTGGGGTCCACCTGGAGAGTTGGAGTGGGAGAGGAGGTCAGAAGCCACACCCGGGACCCTGCTCCCAGGGTGGCCCTCGTACCTCCGTCCTGATCCCACACGAGCACGGACTTGGCCCCAGGTGCGAGGCAGAAGGTGTGATCAGAGCTCTATCCTGGCCAGTAGCCTAGAGAGGGACCAGTTGGCTGGTTGGCTCTGCTGTGAGCGCCCCACGTGGAGGGCGGAGCTAGGCTCGATTTGGGAAGTGGCTCAACAGGCCTCTCCTGTGGGGCTCCTCTGAGTGGACTCAGGAGCTCTGATGGCACAGTGCCTAAGGCACCTGACTGCTAACCACAAGGCTGGTGGGTCAAACCCACCAGCCACTCCTTGGAAGGAAGGTTGGACAATCTACTTCTGCAGAGATGCCGCCTCGGAAACCCACGGAGGGGTAGCTCTGAGTTAGGTACGACTCGATGGCACATAACAGCAGCAACAACAACAAAGTGTGAGAAAATAATTCTGTGCATTCAAGCCCCGACTTGGGGGTATGTCTGATAGCGGAGACACACCTCTGCTCTACCAACAAGGTGTCTTTCCCCAGCGATGCTCTTTCCTGATGACGTGTCAAAGTGAGCTGGAGTCTCACCACCCTCGCTCTGTGGCGCATTCTGGTTGGATTTCTCCTGATACTGGCTTGTTTGTTCTGGCGTCCCACAAAGTGTTCGGTGTACTTCCCTAACACCATGGTAGGAATGCAGCAATTCTTGTTTCTTCCCCTTTCAATGCCCAGCTTTTTCATGCATATCTTGTGCCATACGAGGGGACAGACTGATCTGGGGACCTGTCCACGGCAAACTGAAGGATGGCATCCCTGTTAGCTGAGAAGGGCAGGGATGTACGTGTGGGGCTCAGAAAGAGACCCACGAGCTTGATTATGGGTGCATCAGGTCTAGATGCCTGTGGAGCACACACACGGTGCCCTCGCGATGTCTAGACACCCGTGAGCACACACATGGTGCCCTCGAGTGGTCTAGATACTTGTGGAGTGTTCGTGGTACCCTCGAGTAGTCTGGATGCCTGTGGAGCACAACTATGGTGCCCTCGAGTGGTCTAGATGCTCGTGAGCACACACATGGTGCCCTCGAGTGGTCTAGATGCCTGTGGAGCACATGGATGGCACCTCGAGTGGTCTAGATGCCCGTGAGCACACACATTGGGCCCTTGAGTGGTTTGGATGCCTGAGGAGCACACACTTGGTGCCCTCGAGTGGTCTAGATGCCTGTGGAGCACATGGATGGCACCTCGAGGGGTCTAGATGCCCGTGAGCACACATATGGGCCCTCGAGGGGTCTGGATGCCTGTGCAGCACACATATGGCTCCCTCAAGTGGTCTACATGCCCGTGGAGCACATGTATGGCACCCTTGAGTAGCTGGCTACTTGAGTTGGGAGTTAAGGGAGAAAGTCCAAGCTGCAATAGAAATTTGAACCATTAATATTTAGTGGAATTTAAATAAAAAGATTGGATGAAACCATTAAGGGCTGGGGATAGAGTTTAGAAGAGGCCCAAGGATTGAGCCTGCCCCCGCCCATGCCCTGACTTTTAGAGGTTTGAGAAATGACAGTAACGGGCGAAAGAGACTGAGAAGTGGCTTATGTGCAGGAGAGAACTCAGGAGGGCAGTGCCCAAAGAAAGGGACCCCTGGAGGAGAAGGGCACGCTGTGACAGATGCCACCAGTGAGTCAGGTGGGGGATGGGCCTGACTAGTGGTCATCGGATTTAGCAATTTGACCTTGAAACATGGCCAGCACGAGTAGAGCGGAGTGGTATTTATTTATTTATTTATTTAAATTTTTAAATTGTGATTTGGATGAAAGTTTACAGAGCAAATTTATTTTCCATTCACCAGTCCACACATACTCTGTTTTGTGACATTCACCGCAATCCCCACAGTGCACCAGCACTCTCCCCACTTCCTCCCCATGCCCACCCCTTCCCTTCATCCTACCTTTCCATGCCCTTCTGCCTCCTTGCTGTACCCCTGGGCAAATGCTGCCTTCTTGATCTTGTATGGTTGATTGTTCTAATGAGTTCATACCCTCCTGGTATCACTGTTCACTTTATAGGCCTGTCTGCGGTTTGGTTGAAAGTTGATCCATGGGGGTAGAGTTCAGTTCCTGGCTTGAAGGATGTCTAAGGGCCTTCATCCCAGGCATCCCATCAGCCGTCATGAGACCAGTCAGCCTGGTCTCTTTCATAACTGAGTTTTGTTCCACATTCCCTCCCTCTGCCCGGGACCTTCTGTTGTGATATATGTGGGAATATGCCTTTCAGGACCCTCAGCAGTGGGCACTGGGCAGTAATCAGTAAGAGTTACATTCCACGTTGTTGTTGTCAGGTGCTGTCAAGTCCTCCCGCTCACGGAGACCCCATGACAGAAGGACAGAACACTGCCCTGTCCTGCACCACCCGTACAGCCTTTGCCATGTCTGAGCCCACCGTTACAGCGACTGTGCTACTCCA